CAAGGATGCTACTAGGGGCTCCTGGCCTTACTACTAGGAGCAAAGGGCATCGCTACTAGGAGCAAGGACGCTACTAGGGGCTCCTGGCCTTACTACTAGGAGCAAAGGGTATCGCTACTAGGAGCAATGTTCATTCAATTGCTGCATTCAGATTGGACAGGCTCCAAACGGAGATCACTGGGAAGCTCTTCCACCGATGTCCGATCGACGGGCAGTTGCTCTGGTCTTAGTGAGCCTTGACAGGCCCATTGGCTGTGCATACTGAGTTACCTAGACTCATTTTAACTTTGACAAGTACGCAACTACTGTCTGCAAACAACTTACCTAGACTTAGCGCATCTCTTTGCTCTTCTGAACAACGCCTAGATGTGAAGCTCTTTGAGGTGGCTGCAGATGTGGAGCTCTTTGTTTGTGGAGGCTGGGATGGCGAACGCCGCCTCAGCCAGGTCGAGCGCCAAGATCTCAGCGATGTTTCGTCCAGATGCTGATTGGGGGGATCGCTTTCGCTTTGTTTCAAGAGCTACTTTTTCAAACCATGTTTTCTTGGGACGAGCTTTTCAGCTTTCACATGCTTTCACTGATGGTGATGCTCCAAGGCTACAACATTACTGCAGGCTGCTGGGAGCAGCTGCCACCCATGCTGGAAAGGCCTGAATAATAAGAGGGTAAACGATGTGACAAATGACAAAGACTTGGTTTCTTTCCTAAAAAATCTAGAAACCAAATCATTAGTGCGTGAGCTATCCTGCGTTTAGTAGGTAGTAGCTTAAGTAGCGAGTAGCTTACTCCCTTACTTAAGTAAGCACCTACTTAATTAAGGTGGGGGGAGCGGGCTTAAAACGAAGTCTACCTCACAGATCTCGCGGATGTCGTGCCACGTCTAGGCCGCCGGCTCCCGTCAGGCGTAGCCATCCAGCGGTGGCCACGTTGCGAGGACGCCTCTATGTTTGTGGCGGCTTCGATGGCGCAGAAAGGCGTAGCCTTCGACCGCTGTCGTTGGCGCGAAACAGGAGTGAAGAGACGGGTCATGTTGTTCCCGAAAGCGTGCCAGTTTGAGCTCGGTGGAGTGCTTCGATCCGGTGTCTGGGAAATGGTCTTGCCATGCTCTCGGCCAAAGAAAGGCAGAGATTTCTTCTTTTCTTCTTTTTCTGGTCCAAGATGGCTTGAGGCCTGCCTCGCATGCGAGAGCGTCGAAGACGTGCAATCGCTGTGCGCGTCCCGGACCTCGGCGGCCCAAAATGAAGATGCTTGGAGTCGTAAGGTGGTCATGGCTGGAAAACTCTACGTTTGTGGAGGTTTCGATGGTGTGTGCCCCAGACATGTCGTACTGTTTTATCGATCGTAGACGGAGCTGGAAAGGAGCTGGGCAGTTGAACTTGGCAGAGAGATATGACCCGGAGGCCGTCTCTGCTCGAGTGTTGGTATGGCTTAGCAATGCTTAGCACGATGTGTATATGGCTTGATATCTTTGCATTTGCAGGATGGGAAGTCATGGAATCTCTTGCCACCACACCTTCTGCGCCGAGTTGTAAGCTGGAGTCCGAGATTTGAGGCAAAACAAAGAAAGAACTCTGAAAGATACAAGGCAAAAGATGGTCAAGCTCTGCTCAGTGACGCACTTTAGCAAACAAATATCTCCAGCCTCAGTCGCTGTTGCTAAAGGTGCCGCTGCGGTGATCGAAGGGAAGCTCTATGTCTTCGGCAGCGAGGATGATGCGCAGGTGGTGAGCTCTGGGGAGCGCGGCTTGGCAGGGAAAAGCAATTACTGTCTAAGAGTCGAAAGAAGGAAACAACTAACAAAACGCGATGACCTCCAACCTACATAGCAATGGCCTCCAACCTACTAGCGATGGCCTCCAACCTAATAGCGATGGGCCTCCAACTTAGTAGCGATGGCCTCCAAGCTAGTAGCGATGGCCTCTAGCCTAAATATCGATGGCCGCCAACCTAAAAAGCGATGGCCTCCCACGTAATAGCGATGGCCTCCAACTCCAACCTAGTAGCGATGGCCTCTAGCATAAATAGCGATGGCCTCCAACCTAAATAGCGATGGCCTCCCACCTAATAGCGATGGCCTCCAACCTAATTAGCAATGGCCTCCAACCTAAATAGCGGTGGTCTCCAACCTGATAGAAATGGCCTCCAACCTACTAGCGATGGCCTCCAACCTAGTTGGCCTCCAACCTAGTAGCGATGGC